GTATTTTATGGTCAGGATCCTGTAATGAGAGCTAAGGTAACCCACAAAAGGGACCACATTTAAGAGCCTTGGTATCCTAGAGCCCTGCTAAATATTTCAAGTTTGAAGCCAGATACTCTATATATAGGCTCGAAACAGGGGGTGAACGTCTTTGCCTCCTATCCCTGCCTCTCCTATCCACCCGAGGCATCTTTGGATGAAAGGGCCAATAGCGGTGAGCAGTACCCTCGGAGAACGCCGCGGCCTGAGCATGCAGGCTTAATGGGGTGAGATTTTCGGCTGGCATGAGAGTGTAGGGCATGTGGTAGAGCCACGAAGCTAGCTCTAAACCCGCAAAGAAGCCAGTAGCTTCAACCCTAAACACTAAACCCAAGCGACTGGCAAGACACGCTTTTTCGAGAAGGCAGGCGATAACCAATGTCAGTGTGCCCTTGCGGCTTAGGGTTTAAAGGGCTCTCCGGCTCTCCGAATTTAGGGTTTAGGGTTTAGAGTCTAGTTACGGTTTAGGGTTTAGGGTTTATAGAGTTTAGCTAGGGTTTAGGGTTTAGAGTTTCCGGTTTAGGGTGTAGGGCAGCAAAGGAGCCATCACATATAAGCCTCATCACCTCCGATACCCTTCGCTGTGATGCCTCAGCCGACGCCCAGGCACTACATTACAGGCGCATAGGCACAAAAATCCGATCGCCCTTTTAGACCCGCCACCAGATCACAATCCTCTTAAGATAACTCATAGCACCTAACCCGTACTTAGACCGACAGCCGTAATAATTACTACCCTTCTCCCCAAGACCCCGCGTGTCTATGCCTTTGAGGTTTTCGGCCCCTCAACCCTAAACCCTAAACCCCGCCCTACATCCAAAGACTCTTACACCCTAAAACCCACGATCCTTCAATCCTAAACTAACTCGTTAATACTCCCTAAATCCACTTAGGTTTAGGGTTCCGGGTTTGGCATTGTTTAGGGTATACCAGAGCTAGGGATCTATAGTAGAGTAAGTATGGCTTCCTTTTCTGGCAGCTCGATGGACGTTCCTTGGCCCTAAACCCCTACTGCCTCTTCGAGCTTCCATGGTGGCCCCTGCGGCAGCCAAAGTTTCAACTTCTGACTGAGTTTCAGCTATGAGCCGCTGAAGCCCACGCCCTTCAGCCCTCAGCCAGAAACACTAGCGCTTTAGGGTTTAGGAATTTAGGGGTTTAGGGTATAGGGGTTTAGGGGTTTAGGGTTCAGGGGTTTAGGGTTTAGGGGTTTAGGGTTTAGGGCTAGACCCCAAGCCAAAAGTCCCAAACCTTTACCACAAAGAGGAGGTCCGGTCCAGTGTAGTTAAAGCTGGGCGGCAAGATGTCGATTACAGTGAACGTTGGGCTGCTCAGCGGCAAGACAGCCACCGTGGAGGCAGGCTTGGATGAAGAAGTCGGAGCATTGAAACGTCGAGCACAGATCGCACTCGTAGTTGGAAGAGGGCGGCTCGTGGACTCATCTGGAAGTGCTCTGGATGCATGTGCACCGATCAAGTGTACAAGGCTGCAGAACGGTGATTTATTAACTTTGCATATAAACAGAGTCCAAGTTCAAGCCTGTCGCCAATCTTTTGCTGCCATCCTTGGTGATGGATCGGTCGTGACCTGGGGTCATGCTGTTGATGGTGGTTACAGCAGTGCCGTGCAGGATCAGCTGAAGAACGCGCAGCAGATCCAAGCCAATTGCTGTGCTTTTGCTGCCATTCTTGCCGAAAGGGTCCGTCGTGACCTGGGGTAATGCTTTCTATGGTGGTGACAGCAGTGCCGTGCAGGATCAGCTGAAGAACGTGCAGCAGATCCAAGCCTCTGAGAGGGCTTTTGCTGCCATTCTTGCCGACGGAACCGTCGTGACCTGGGGTAGTGCTGCCTATGGTGGTGACAGCAGTGCCGTGCAGGATCAGCTGAAGAACGTGCAGCAGATCCAAGCCTCTGGCAGCGCTTTTGCTGCCGTTCTTGCTGATGGATCCGTCGTGACCTGGGGTGATGCTTTGTATGTTGATTTGTATGGTGGTGACAGTAGTGCCGTGCAGGATCAGCTGAAGAACGTGCAGCAGATCCAAGCCAATTGCTGTGCTTTTGCTGCCATTCTTGGTGATGGATCGGTCGTGGCCTGGGGTCATGCTGTTGATGGTGGTTACAGCAGTGCCGTGCAGGATCAGCTGAGGAACGTGCAGCAGATCCAAGCCTCTGAGAGGGCTTTTGCTGCCATTCTTGCCGATGGATCCGTTGTGACCTGGGGTAGTGCTGCCTATGGTGGTGACAGCAGTGCCGTGCAGGATCAGCTGAAGAACGTGCAGCAGATCCAAGCCTCTGACAGGGCTTTTGCTGGCATTCTTGCCGACGAAACCGTCGTGACCTGGGGTAGTGCTACCTATGGTGGTGACAGCAGGGCTGTGCAGGATCTTCAGAAACCTATGTAGCAGGTGCCAGCAGCGATGCAGAACAGGACTCGCACGGCATTTGCAAAAATGGGTTGTCGAAGCGCTGATGACAGACCGGTAACATTCGTGCTGGTTCGGGGGGACCCTACTGCTAACTCCACTTTTCTCTTCCAAGGCTTAACGTACTTAAGGGCTCCCTAACCCTAAACCCTCAACACTCTTTCGAGTTTCGGATTTCGGGTTCCCCGATTGCGTGCCTGTGTTTTTGATCCGCACACTGCCTCGGGTATACTACACCATATTCTTGAGTCACCCTTCAAGCCAAAACACAGGCATCTCGAATCCAAACTCCGACGATCCTCAATGCCCTCTGGAACAGATAGAACAAGATAGATTCAGCCGCACACATCTGCGCATCTCTGCTAGGGGGGGAGCAAGACCTTAAACCCAACACTCGAGGATGTGACAATGCCAATGACCTCTAGGGTGGTTTTCGGGTTCCACTCGGTCTGAATCTAAACCCTTAGTTCTCCATTGTCCAACCTTCAATTCCAATTTTTTGGGCTCTTATGATTTGGTAGTACTCTGAAAGTTTACCCTTTTATTTCCCTGGCTGGTTGAGGAAGTAAGAACCCGAAACCACCTGGCCCTAAACCCTAGCTCGTTTGCGCTCAAGTTGTTGGTTTGCTTGCCATTTGTCGGCTTGAGCTTCTCAGCGGGTTGTATAGGTAATTCTCTAAATTAGGGACCTATACAACCCTACAACCCCAAACTCAGCGAGGGCTCGTTGGCGCGCTTGAAGCAGAGCCCGAGCGACGATTGCCGAGGCCAGGCAATCGCCCGAGCAGCTCCGCTGCGAGCGGCCGGACAAGTTTGTCATCAATCGCATCCTGCCACTGGAGGGTTAAGCCTCCAGTGTGGGCCTGGAACGGACGCCAACGAATAGGCCCTGCCTGGCCCTGCCTGACCACACACGTGAGGTACACAGATTTAGTGTGCCCGATCAGCACACCTCTAGTAGAAAGCTAATACCCGAAACCGCAGCCATTTCCCAGCGAGGGCCGTTTACAAACCCTAAGCCCAGGGACCCTGGGCGGCGGGGTGGTTTGAGTTTCGAGTTTTGGGTTTTGGTTTCGAGATTGATTTTGAGTTTTGAGTTCTAGTTCTTGGATTCAAGATCGGCTTGTTTTCTGGTTTCTTGACAGAATCAAAGGCCGGATTTTGCTACGTTAAGTTCTTTTCGCAAAATGTGTGTTTTAGATTAGGCCAGTGGCCACGATCTCCGGGGGGACCCTTTTCCAAGATGTGGCCCCCGCTAAACGCCAAATGAGTTTGAAACATTGAGTTTTGAGTTCTGGGTTCTAGCTCGTGGATTCAAGATCTAGGGTTAGTTTCGAGTTTCGACCGCCTTGTTTTCTGGTCTCTTGGCAGAATCAACGGCCGGATTTTGCTACGTTCAATTCTTTTCGTAAAATGTGTGCTTTAGATTAGGCCAGTGGCCGATGTCGGGGGGACGCTTTTCCAAGATGTGGCCCCTGCTAAACGCCAAATGGCCGGTGGCCGATCTCGGAGTGGACTCTTTTCGAAGATGTGGCCCCTGCTACAAAGCCAAACGGACGCCCACAGCCGCGACGAAAGCCCAACACAGCAGTCCAACTAGCGGTCATCCGTGAGGTGGTTTGGTGCTGCTGTGACGGCAGCAGGTCCCCAAAAGGCGTCGAGCATGCCCGACCTCCAGCCGCGACGCAAGCCCGACACAGCCGTCCACGCAGCGGTTATCTGCCAGATATTTAATTTGGTGCTGCTGCGAGGGGAGTGGGTCCCCCAAAAACCATGAGCAGGCCCGACCTCCGGTCGCGACGCAAGCCCGACACAGCAGTCCGTGTAGCGGTTATGTGCCAGATAATTTGGTGCTGCTGTGAGGGGAGTAGGTCCTTAAAAGGCCACGAGCAGGCCCGACCTCCAGCCATCTGCCAAGTGGTTTGGTGCTGCTGTGACAGGAGTGGGTCCCCAAAGGCCGCGAGCAGTCCCAATCTCCAGCCGCGAGGAAAGCCCGACACAGCAGCCACTTAGTTGTGACGGGAGCTCCACACACGCAAGCCCGACACAGCAGTCCACCTAGCGGTGATGCCAGGTGGCTCGGTGCTGCTGTGACGGGAGTAGGGAAGTCGGGGTTGGAAAAGCCCCCCTTGATAGGGGGGTTGGGGGGTAGAAACCCTAAACCTTCAAAGAGTCGAGTCTGGGTGGGTCGAGGGTGGGAAAAACGTAGCTATGCTAGAGCGAGCGGCTCGGGGTGCTTTACACCCGAGCGAGCGACCACATATACACACCCTAAACCCTAAACCCTAAACCCTAAACCCCTAAACCCCAAACCCCTGAACCCTAAACCCTTTATAAAACCCTAAAGCCCTAAACCCTGAACCCCTAAACCCTAAATCCCAAACTCCTGAACCCTAAACCCCAAACCCCTGAACCCTAACTTAAACCCCTAAACCCCAAACCCCTGAACCCTAAACCCTAAACCCCTAAACCTTACATAAACCCTAAACCTTAAAACCCTAAACCCTGAACTGAGGGGGGCTTCGGGGTTTGCGATCCGAGGCCGGCCGCGGCTGGGTATCCCTGCCGAGCTCCTCCTTGGGTCACCCGAGTGCGGGCTCGGCAGCCCAGGGGAGCTCGCAAGTTTCTACCTAAGGATTTAGGGTTTGGGGTTTAGGGTTTAGGGTTTATAGAGTTTAAGGTGTAGGGCTTATAGGGTTTAAGGTTTAGGGTTCACGGATATAGGGGCCTTGTGTTTTAGAATAGGGTTTGGGGGGTATCATACTATAATGATAATAAGGAACCCCGAAAACCCTATGCTAATTGATTACAAAGGCCCCTACATTATTCCCTTAGTTCAGGGCCTGGGGTTTAGGTAGGGACCCTATAAGCCTTGAAAATCCTGAACTACGGTTGATGATATAAATCCTGCATTACCCCATAATAAGGAGTATCCCATGATTCCCATAGTGTAGGGTCCTTAAGGTAATGCAGGATTTATATGGGTAGTTCTCTAAATTAGGGTCCCTTTTAGGGTCCTTCTTTTATATGGGCGCCGTACTAGATTGGGGACGAAAAAGGACCCTAATTTGAACTACCCATATCAATCCTGCATTACCTTAAGGACCCTAAACTATGGGAGTCTCCTTATTATGGGGTAATGCAGGATTTCTATCATCAACCGTATGTTCTAAGGCTTTGGGCTTTTTGGTTTCAAGGGCCCAGCTCTGCAGGGTTTCAGCAGAGCAAAGAGCCTGAAAAGGAGAGGGTTTAGGATAGGGGTTTAGGGTTGGGACTATAGGCAGTATGTTGCATCCCACCCATCCTGATCACTGAACCCCGAAACCACCCGACCCCGACCAAAAGAAAGCGTAAAAATGGCTCTTGGCCCAGAAACGATGCCTAAGAAACCAACAAGTTCTAAAACCTACAACTCTTGAACCCTACCATGAACCCTGAGAGCCCTGCCGTCCAAATTTTTGGAGTGGAAACATGCCTGGGAGCGGAGGGCAGAATTGGGTTTAGGGCTTCGGGTTTGGGGTTTAGGGTCTACCCATAGGCTCCATGGTAGTTCGTTTTTGTGGTTCACATTTAGGATCCTATCAGGTAATCCCAAAAAGGAACTACCATGGGTAGGGTAATCAACCTTGCCTCTGCTCATGAATCCGTAAGCCTGAGGCCGTGATCGTTGAATTGCGACTTGCTCAGAATTCTTAGCTTCCGTAAACCCTATATGCCAACCCACACCTTTACCTCAATCCTCAACCTCTCACCCCAAAGCCCTAAAACCCTAAACCTTAAACCCTAAACCCCTAAGCCCTAAAACCCTAAACCTCTTACCTCCAAGCCCGAAACCCCTAAAGCCCCACGCCCTAAACTCTAAGTTGTGAATCCGGCTTCTCATCCAGGGCCATGGGCTTGCCCACAGCCTGCCCTCTGGCGACAGTGTGCGGGCGCTCAATTCCTCTTCTTTGGGGCCGAGAAGGGTAGCGCTCTAAACTAAGGTCCCATTTTAGGTCCCTAATTGAGTGCGGCACCTAAAAGGTTTCATACTTTAAAGAACGACCCAAAAACTTCAGATCCTGGTGGTCTGCTAGAATTACGACTTCGTCCCGGTAAGTGCCCAGGGCTTCGAAGGCTAGGCCTATTAGGCCTAGAATAGTTGAAACCCTAAACGCGAAACTCGAAACTCTAAGCTGTTTAGAACTTGTGGACTTAGAACTTATAGACTTTAGTGGCTGCCGACGGCCAGAATTTGCAGACTATCATAAGTCATAAGGGCTCGGAAACTTCGAACCCGCATGTTCCCTAAACCCTAGACCCTAAACCCTGTAAACCACAGGTATTTGTCAACACTTAACAACGGCATCCATAAATCTGTGAGTTAATAGGATTTATGGTTTAGGGTCGAGGGCCCAGGGTTTAGGGTTTAGGGTTGGGTCTAGGGTTTAGGGTTTGGTGTCTATAGGGTTTAGGGTTTAGGCTTGGGTCTAGGGTTTAGGGTTTATGGTCTATAGGGTTTAGAGTTGGGTTTAGGGTCTAGGGTTTAGGCTTTGGTTTAGGGTTTAGGGCTTATTATAGGCTCTATAGGGTCTATAGGGTTTAGGTGCTGGCCGCATCATGATGTCCGGTGTTGGCACTTGAGGCTTCGAGGCTGCCGCTCCCAATCTCGACTCAAGTCCTAAAGCTAGTACTCCGACGCGCTGTGAGACTGTAGCGGCCTAGATAATAGATAGCACAACCGGTGTGCGTCCGCGCGCGCGCGCGGGTGTGTGTGTGTGTGTGTATTTCTATTTTTGGAAAGGGGTCTGTCATGCTTGGGCAGCCCTGACGAACACTAGTGTTACGGTGGCTTTTCAGAGTCCTATACTACCCGTGTAGAGAGTTCGTTTTTTAAAGGGGGCGTATAAGAACACAGTTTTATAAATTAAAGGCTCGACAGCAGAAGTAACCCTAAACCCTAACCTCTAAACCTAAACCCCTAAACCCTAAACCCTAAAGGCCACGCTAAACCTCTCAAGAGCAGCGCCTTTGAGGAAGCGCGGTTTGTATCAGCTCAAAGCTCCAACGCCAAAGTCCTTAACTCTACCCATGGGCTCTGGGTTCCAAGCTTATTAGGGTTTCGGTTTAGGGTTTAG